GACTATAAACCTTCTCAGTTCTCTGGAGGATCAGCTGATGATGCAAAGCCTCCTCTCTATGGAAATCATTTCTCTGCTCTCAACACACTGAAGGAAACTTTGTGACACAAACATGAGAAGTACACTAAAAATACACTAAAATGATCTTAAGTACAACAATAGAAAAGCAGGTGAGGGTTTTGTCCATTCTGGTTCTCACAAATGCTTTTTTTTCCCTCTGCACCTTCCGTACTTACAAGCTTTACTTTAGATTAATATATTTGGCATAATTTACTATGAGTAGTTATTAATTAATTAATTAATTTATGATATGCAGTTGTGTATTTTCCAGTTGTAGAAATGTAAAACTAAACCACATGATTAGGAAAACTGTAGAATACATTGGAAACATATTTATATGTTTTTAACACCTGGATTAAAATGGCACTTTGGTTTGTATGTTTACTTTTGGTTTTAGTATCAGCAAATACAATATACCTGTAAAACTGTTTTGTTATTTTGTCATAGTTTCGGAATTCATATTTCTTGAAACGTTTCTCTTTGCTGTTTTAAACAGTTTTTGTGTGGGTTTTTTTTAAAAAAAAGAAAATTTGTGTAATGTTAAAATTATGTTTTATCTTTCAGGTCTTATTACTAAAAGTACAATTATGATAATCATGACTTAAATTCATTAAATACTTTTAAGTCGCTTTAGTGTAATCATCTTCTGTATTTAATGAGGTGTGCTGTGATGTTTTACATGAAAAAAAGGTTCATTTTCAGTTGTTAGATGCTTGATCAGAGTGCAGGAGGTTTTTGTACGGCCACTTAATGAGTTTGTATCACTGTGGAGGACTTTTGGTGGTGTTTGTTGATCTATTTCTTTATTGTTTGTATTTTGAAAATAACTTTTTTGAAATATTAATTTAATTAATTAATTTAATTGGATTTCCCCAAAAGTAAAAAAGGGTCAGTAAACACAGACCAGCTTTGAGTTCATGGATGATTGATTGTACTTGTAGTTTAAAAGGAAGTGAAACAAGCAGATGACAAAGTTTCAACTGTACATGAGTGTTTCAACTCTGTGAGTGTAACATTGAAAATTATCACATAGATGAGTTATTGACTGTAAAACATTAAAGAAATAATAATATTCATCAATCAACAATGATTAAAGACCATGTAGGTATTTCTTTCCTGCTTTCATTCTTATGTCTTTGGTTGCTCTTCTCCCCACTCTCTCCTCCAGTGGGTGTGGTGAGGCCCACCCTCACTGTCCTCCCTCCATCCAAAGAGGAAGACAAACTGAGTAGTGCCACTCTGGTGTGTTTGGCTGCCGGCGGTTTCCCCTCAAACTGGAAGCTGGGCTGGAAGGTGGGGGGCACCAGCACATCCTCAGGTGTGTCAAGCAGCCTGGAGGTCTTGGGGACAGACGGTCGCTACAGCTGGAGCAGCACCCTGAGCCTCTCTGCAGACCAGTGGAGGAAGGCGGGCTCAGTGAGCTGTGAGGCCAGTCTGAGTGGACAGTGCCCTGTCACTCAAACCCTGGACCCTGACCACTGCTCAGAGTAGAACTTCAGCAACACTTCCTGTTTGCATATGTGTTTGATGAAGCTACAGGTTTCATTTGTTTTAATTTTCCTGCAAACATTGTTGTCTGTTGTTGTGCATGCAGATGTCATCTGTTTATTCACATTGTGTTTTCAAACCATGCTATAAAAAGAAAGTCTGCAGAACAAAATAAAATCCCAGTTCATGAAAAATCACTAA